CAGTGGTAGAGCGCTTGCCTTGCATGCATGAGGCCCTGGGTTCGATTCCTCAGCACTACATAAGCAAAAAAAAGAAAAAAGCCGGAAGTGGCGCTGTGGCTAAACTGGTAGAACGCTAGCCTTGAGCTGAAGAGCTGAGGGACAGCGCCCAGGCCCAGAGTTCAGGCCCCATGACCGGACCCCCCCCCCAAAAAAAATGCAAACAGAAGAGATGGGGATGTAGCTTGAGTTATAAAATGCTTTGCCCAGCAACTATGAGACCTGGGTTCAATTCTCAACATTAAAAAACAAACAAACAAAAAAACCCCAAAACAAAAACCTCTATGAGTACAAACAACATGGTTGAATCTTAAAAACACTAAGTAGAACAAAAAGACAAAAGAAAAAAGAGGACAGGGTCATATTTATACAAAATTCAAGAAGAGACAAAATGAACAGAAATCAAAACATTTGGGGCTGAGGGTTTAGCCAAAAGTAAAGTGTTTGCTTAGCATGCTCAAGGCTCTTGGTTCAATTGTATAACACTGAAAAGAAAATAAAAATCAGAATAATATATGATTTTAGTGGAAGAATAGATTAAGGGGCTGGGAAGTTGGCTCAGTGGTAGAGCGCTTGCCTTGCATGCATGAGGCCCTGGGTTCGATTCCTCAGCATCACATAAGCAAAAAGAAAAAAGCCAGAAGTGGTGTTGTGACTCAAGTGGTAGAGCGCTAGCCTTGAGCTGAAGAGCTGAGGGACAGTGCCCAGACCCAGAGTTCTGACCCCACGACCGGACCCCAAAAAAAAAAAAAAAAAGAGGGGGCTGGGAAGATGGCTCAGTGGTAGAGCGCTTGCCTTGCATGCCTGAGGCCCTGGGTTCGATTCCTCAGCACCACATAAGCAAAAAGAAAAAAGCCGGAAGTGGCGTTGTGGCTCAAGTGGTAGAGCACTAGCCTTGAGCTGAAGAGCTGAGGGACAGTGCCCAGGCCCAGATTTCAGGCCCCACGACCGGACCCAAAAAAAAAAAAAAAGATAGATTAAAAGGAAAGGATTAAGGAAAAGAATCCCCGAGAACTTTCCAGGAGACAATATTCTAATTCTTTTTTTTTTTTTTTGGGGGGGGGGGGGGTCTGGTCATGGGGCCTGAACTCTGGGCCTGGGCGCTGTCCCTCAGCTCTTTAGCTCAAGGCTAGTGCTCTACCACTTGAGCCACAGCACCACTTCCGGCTTTTTAAAAAAATTTTTGCTTATGTGGTGCTGGGGAATCGAACCCAGGGCCTCATGCATGCAAGGCAAGCGCTCTACTACTGAGCCACCTTCCCAGCCCACAATATTCTAATTCTTTACTCCTTCCCCTCCACCCTGCCCCAAATACTTGGGTTTTTGAACTCAGGACGTAAAACTTGCTAGGCTGGCACTCTACCATGAGCCACGCTCCTAAACTGTCTGGCCTAATTGTGTATCTTGATGGGACTGTTGATTATAAGGTTACATACATTATTGTAAAAAAAGTCATCCAGCTACTCTTAGGAGTGAAACTCAAAAGTGCAATGCCTATATTTATTGAAATGAACTCAGGAAATAGAAAAAGTTTTTTTTTCTTTATTGCTGTTTTTGTTTTCTTTTCTTTTTGTCTTGTTAATTTATCTGTCTTTGGGAAGGTAAGGGGGCACAGAAATGGAGGAACAAAGGTAAACAAATGCAGTACTCACTGGATACTAGGTTGAAAATCAACCATACAATTTGTGGGTGGAGATGGGAAGGAAAAACTGGGAGCGAGGAAAGGGGTGTCACTGTCCAAAAGGAAATGTATTCTTTACCTGACTTATGTAACTGTAACCCCTCTGTACATCACCTTTATAACAGGAAAAAAAATAAAAAATAAACTTAAAAAAACTATCCAGTTGAGTACCTGTGGCTCAGGCCTGTAATTCTAACTACTCAGGAGGCTGAGATCTGGGGATGGAAGTTCAAAGCCAGTCCAGGAAGGAAATACTGTGAGATTCTTATCTCTAACAACCACAAGTGGAGCTGTGGCAAGTGGCAGAACATTAGCCTTGAGCAAAAAATCTCAGGGGTGGTGCTCAGGCCTAATTTCAAGCCCCAGGGCCAGCATAAACACACAAATCCAATTGTACACTTAGGACTCATGCATTTTGGTAGGTTTTAAAAACTATTTTTCAACCTTAATATACAGATATAGACATACATGCCTTCATACTCGATTAGTGTATAGACACAGACGTACATGCCTACATAAACACTAGATTCATTTATATATACTAGGAAAACAAGTACAATATGCAAAATGGTGCACACATTTCATTAAGACTTTTAGCATATTATTTTTATTTCTGAATTTACAAGGATTTTTTTTTGGGGGGGGGGGGGAGTGCGGGTGGTACTGGGGCTTGAACTCATAGCCCAGGCACTTTCCCTGAACTGTTTTTAGTCAAAGCTAGAGTGCCACCATTGAGCCAGAACTCTTACTTCCAAGCTTTTATGGTTGTTAATTGGAAATAAAGAGTCTCACAGACTTTTCTTGAACTGTGATCCTTAGACTGTAGCCTCCTGAGTTGCTAAGATTATAGATAGGAGCTACTGGTGCCCAGCTTAATTATTCTTTTCTTAAATAATATTACTATTATTGATTACACACAGACAAGATTGATTGAGAGAATTAAATAACATGTTAAGAAATAGAACACAAAAACTGCCTTGGAATTAAAACTGTTTTATGACAAGGATAAAAAATTTAAGTAGAATAAAAATAAGCTTACCCACTACTTTGAAAAATCAGAAATTGAGAGCAGAAGCTAAAAATCTAAAACTTAAAACAACTATAGGGACCAAAGAGAAAATGACTGAAGCAGGATGGGTAGTCAAGGAACTCAAAAAATACATGTCCAAACTAAATGGAAAACAGCAAAGACTGTCAGATGTATATTGTCAGATCTCCTGCTTTTCCAAGAGAAATTATAAATATTTCTTTCTCTCTCTCTTTTATTGGGGGGTGGGGGGGGGCACGCAGTTCTAGGGCTTGAACTCAGGGCCTAGGCCTTGTCCCTAAGCTTCTTTTACTCAAGGCTAGCACTCTGCTCATGAGCTACAGTGCCACTTCTGGCCTTTTTCTGAAGGATTTATTGGAGATAAGAATCTCATGGACTTTCCTGCCTGGACTGGCTTCGAACCACAATCCTCAGACCTCAGCCTCCTGAGTAGTTAGGATTATAGGTGTGATCCATCAGCAGCCTAGCTTGATTTCTTAATGTAATATATTTTAAGATATTCTGTAGACTGAATAAAACAAGTCTACATGCAAACATACAGCCCAAGGGTAACATGTTTGCGACTTACAGTTTTAATAGTAATCCTGATTACAAAACTTTCTTCAATAATGTTCAGCTGTAGAATTACTGTCATGGAGAAGAGAACTGATTACTTATCAAAGGTTGTATATTTGCTAAGGAAAAGACATAAAAGAGTTAACTTGCAATACCTGAAATAATGAACAGAAAATTAAACCCAAAAATGGGTCTAGAAGGTGAAAAGTCAACATATCAAAGGGACTGAACAATACTGAATACTATCCTCAAGTTCCTGAGCAGTTACTAAAGGATGGGAATTGTAGTCACAGAATACATACATTCAAAAACTTCCAACTAATGCAGTTTATTTTTGAAATTACACGTTCTAGATTCACTCAGGAAGTCTGTGAAAAAAGCACATATTCCAAAAACAATGTAATAACATTATTTATATTCAATCAGATAAGGTTTTTAGGTTACTTAACTGATTTTTAAAAAGTGCATCCTACAAATACCTAAAATCATTTTCAAAAACCAGGCACAAAAAAAAATCAGGCAAATTCTAATAGTAGGGTATCCTGACCAAGTTATCAAAAATAAGGAAAATTAAGAAACTTCCACAGCCAAAGGCACCTAGAGAAACATGATAATGAGTATGATATCCTGAAACAGAAAAAAGATTTCAAATAAAAACCAAGGAAGTATAAACTATGAATTTTCATCAGTAACAATATTGGTTCAAAAGTGTACTAATCAATGTAAGATGCAAATTATAGGGAAAACTGGATGCTGACTGGGGATATCGGAAATCGCTGTACTAGTTTTTCAATTTTTTTAATTACAAAGCTAAAGCAATACTGAGATAAACTCTGTTAAGAAAACAATGTATAAAAAGTCAAGGTAGGGGCTGGGAAGGTGGCTCAGTGGTATAAGTGCTTGCCTTGCATGCACAAAGCCCTGGGTTCAATTCTAAGCATCACACAAGCAGAAAAAGCCAGAAGTGGTGATGTGGCTCAAGTGGCAGGGCGCTAGTCTTGAGCTGACGAAATGAGGGACAGCACCCAGGCCTAGAATTCAGGCCCCACGACCGACCAAAAACAAAACAAAAAAAGAAAAAAAAAAGTCAAGCTAGTTCTAGACAATTTTTCCCCTAGGTAACAAAATTATATATAACAAAAACAACTCCATGGAAAATATACCAAAATTTGTCAGACTTCACAACTGTATTGCAACTTTGACACATGAAAATATCTAACTACCCATGAATATCTCTCATCTGTCTTCAAGTGATTGCTTCCACATAGATGAATATAGCTATATATCTAGACATAGATATATACATAAAATCATTTATTTTTCCTTTGGTCCAAGACTGGGACATGAATTTGGTACCTAACGCTTTTGCTCATTGGTGAGTACTCTACCAACTGAGCCATGCCTCCAACTTCTTTTTCCTACTTTTAGTTTAGAACTCAACACCTCATGCTAGGCAGGTATTCTACCACTTCAGAAACATCTCTAGTCTTCTTATATTAGTTATTTTAAAAAGATAAAAATATCTTTATTGCTGGCACTGGTGGCTCACACCTGTAATTCTAGAAATTCAGGAAGCTGAGATCTGAGGATCACAGTTCAAAGCCAGCCCAAGCAGGATAGTCCATGAGATTCTCATCTCCAATAAACTACCAAAAGCTGGAAGAGAAGTTGTGGCTTATGTGGTAGAGTGCTAGCCTTAAGCACAAAAGCTCAGGGATAGTGCCCAGACCTTGAGTTCAAGCTCCAGGATCAACACCCACACTTGCACGCTCACTAACACACACACACACACACGTGCACACATACACATCTTTATTTTTTAAATGTGGAGGAACTATACCAGTGTGCTAAGCTACTTTTAGAACTGACCCTGCAGCAAGGAACAACCAAAGGAGGAGCAGGAGCAGATAGAGCTCCCAGTTATGAGTCCCAAGATGTCACTCTTCTAGCAAATCACTCCAGTTTTCCTTCAGCTATTTCTGGTGATGTCTAGAGAGTTGTGTTGTACTGTTTTGTCTGACGGATAGGTCAGACCGTGAAGAGCAGTAGCCCACATCCGCTGCCTTTATGGGCTTTATGACATGGCCTGGCTTGGTGACAACCCTGGGAGTGGTCAGCTTTTGGAATGCCCTCTGTGTGTTCCACATAGATCCTACAGGGTTCTGAATAGTCTGTTCAAATTGCTGGTGGTGGGTGAATGGATATGGAAGTACTCGAACCTGATGAGCTGCAGCATGGATGTTGTGCTTCTCAGCGATAATTGCATTTGGCAAATTCTTGTCTTTTCTTGGAGGATCTTCAGGAGCTTTAATAAGAAACTGACGTCTTTTCTTGGCACTAGGTTTCAGGCCCACACCACTCCACTCACCCCAGCCAGGCAATGTCAGATCTATGTCCCTTGGCTTATTTGCCTCTGCCGTTTCCTTCTTCTCTTTTAAGAACTCCCTGATGACATCATCTCCAGCAAAAGCTTCCTTTATCATCTGCTTTTGGTTTCTCTCCACTTCATCTTCCAACTCTTCAATAGCTGCGGGAACTGCCAAAGACTTTACATAAGGAGATTTTGTAGTTAGGAGGTTCTGTAGATCAATCATTTGCTCCTTCTTTTTCTTCCCCTTGGAGACAGACTTATTACATAGGTTCCTTATCATTTGTTCCCTTTCTAGCACAGGTCGGAGAGGCTCCTCATTTTGAGAACATTCTTCTTTGCCCAGCTGTTCCTGAGTCTGCACTCTCTTTGACCTCTGTAGCAATAGTGGCTCCTCTTCCCCTGGGGTAGGTTCCTCTCTCTGGACCTGTAGAACAGTCCCCACTAAATTCACTTTTTGCTTTCTGGAGTGATAGCTTTCCTTGTTGCATTTCTGAGATAACACCCTCAATTCAGATAATACCTCCTGGCAGTTAGACTCTTTTATTTCTTGGCTGCCTCCAGGTGCACCATTGTGGTTGAGCTCAGATGCTTCTTTAAGGGAGTGCTTTTCCTCAAAGTCTCTCAACAAAATTTCTTCCTCAGACACTGGTCTTTCATTTTCTTTGACTTCAGAAAACTTGTGGATTTCATTCTCTTTTGCATCACTGTTGCACCTCCTGAACATCCAGGGATTTATTACATCCCCATTCATCTGTATTTCATTCACATCAGAGACAAGGGGCTCTTCTTCTACATTTCCTTCCTCTTCCTCACTCTCTGAAATTACTTGGAATTTCTGGGTCAGTTCTTTGTTCTTAGCCAATTGTTCTTGCATAGCTTGGCGAGCCTCTAGGTCATATTTGGCCATAATTGCCTTTGACTTGGCCCATTTCCCATTGTTCTGGTGCTTAAGGCTCATTCGTTCCATCACTCTGGCCTTCTCAATTTTTTCCAGTTCTTCCAATGCAGCACTTGGATTGACCTTCCACAGATGCTCAAACTCTTTCAGAGCTTTCCTGGCTTTTCCTTTCTTCACAATTTTGTGATATTTTTTACTTTTGATTTTTTTCTCTCTTCGAGCCCTGGCTTCATAGTAGGACTGCAGAGCTCGGGCTCTCTTAAGTTCAGATTGGCGCATCTTAGCCTCTTCTAGACTCATGGCTTTGAGGGAAGCTTTTTCCATGGGAGTCAGTACGGGGTCTGTCATTGGCTGCTTATTCTTATGAAGGAGGTTAAAAACTTCCTGCTCCAGGGGTGTTGTTGCCTTCCAGCCACTGAACACATATTCAATGGGAGCATAGGCTGATGGCTCCTTCACCACTGGGAAAACCAGCTGCTCTGCCTGCCGATTCTTCAGAACAATAGGATCCCATTTGGAAAGGGTTTGTGATGTTTGATTGAATGCTATTTCTCTATGGATGCATTTAACCTCTTCTTTGTTGAGGGGTAATCCCAGAATCTTCTTTGACTTGACTCTATACAGTTGTTTTTTCATAGCATCCAATGAGGAGGAAGTTTTAGCAGGCTCAAGCAGATCTGAAAGGACCAGCTTTTCTCCTGACCCTCCAGAACTGACATTGAATTCAGATACCTTCAGACTAGCTTCAGATCTCTCAGTCAATTTCCACCTACTAGTTCCATTAAGGGAACTGATTGCTTTCAGAAGTTTTTGGTGCTTTCTCTCTCCATCACTGTCCAACTCATCTTCACTGGCACTCACAGGGTGGTTGTTGGGCAAATCCACTAATGCTTCCTGCTGGCTCAAAGCCAGAAGGTCCTCTGCAGCCCAGGTTGTGTTCATCACAGCAGACTGCTTCTCCCACGTGGGCAAAGGAGGATGGAAGCCAAAAGGAAAGTTATTTTTCAAGTAGGAACTCACATTTTTTGTCCAGGTGAACTGAGATCAGCATCCTCCTACTTATGCTTTCCTTGAAGTTAGGATGACAGGATCTTGTTGCCCAGGCTGGCATAAAATCGTGATCCTTTTGATTTCTGCCTCCTAAACAGCTGGGATTACAGATATGAGCCACTGTGCCTGGCTCAAGCTGCATTCCTTATTGTTTACAAGTCTGGTAGTTCAAACTTCAAAACTGTTTGTTTTTTTTGTATATATTAATGAACCATGTTGGGAGGAAAAAAGAAAAATATTTTTAAGGGTGTATGAGAAAAAAAAACACATATATTAACACCCAGCTTAATGGTTAATTCAGCTACAGCCTTCCTTACTGTCCTCTTCCTGCAGACATAATCACTTTTCTAATTTGATTTTTTTCTTTTAATTTCCTACATATACACGTAAGCAATATTTAACATATTCTACATGTCTTTTTTTTTTTTCTTTCCCAGTACTACAGATTGAACTGAGGACCTTGCACGTCCTAGGCAGCCAATATACCATTTGAGCCACTCCAGCCCTTACAAATCTTCAAACTGGGGCAGGGAAGGTGGCTCAGTGGTAGAGCGCTTGCCTTGCATGCCTGAGACCCTGGGTTCGATTCCTCAGCACCACATAAGCAAAAAGAAAAAAGCCGGAAGTGGCGCTGTGGCTCAAGTGGTAGAGCGCTAGCCTTGAGCTGAAGAGCTGAGGGACAGCGCCCAAGCCCAGAGTTCAGGCCCCACAACCGGCCCCCCCTCCCCCCAAAAAATCTTCAAACTGAGTTGAAGAGTTCTTTCTTTTCCTTCCCTCCTCCTTGCTTTTGTATTTTTACTAGCTTAGTTTGTAAAAGGGGAATTTCATTGTTACATTTCCACACTTTTACAATATATTCCAAATCAAGCTCAACTCCTCTATCACGCAAAATTCTCCCTCCTACCCCAAACAATTCCACTAGGTTTTATTGTGCTACTTTCATAATTGCAAACAATCTGCATCTACCGTATACATCCTCCTTGTTAGCTCAATCCCCTCCTCTCCGCCATCCCCCTATTACCAACAGCTTTGAGAACTAGTTCTTCTACATTTTCCTCTTTGGCCTCTGCCTGTTTCCGAAGTCAATCTTGTTTTGCTTTGTTTTTTTAAGCAGCACATAACATTCCATGCTGGTAATAACTCGTCCGTATATATTCTCATCAATGAACGTTTCAAACTTCTCTTACCCTCCATGCTATTATGAATTTCCTTGTCTACATCAAATTTCCCTAAGTGGAATATTGGCTTTCGCATTCTTAATCTGTCCCTTTTATCTGTTCAAAATGGCTTTAATCTATCAGCAGGTGCGTTTAGACGCGTACAGGAGAAACCTGGAAATACATGGAATTTAGGCATTTCTGCTTCTCCATCGTTTGCCTTTTATGCTCACACAATCAAGTGAATAAACAGCAGCTACCGGCAGTCCCGAAGCTCCAACACCGCAGGACCTGGAACAGTCTCTGGACAGCCTCTTGGAAGCCGGAGCAAACTCGCTTCCGCGTAGGCGCGGCGTGGCGCGGTGATGACGTCAAACGCCAGAGACGTCGCCCTCCTACTTGGCGTCCTTGAAGGCCCCTTTCCGGGCTGTCTGACACGATCGGGTGTCGAATTTTGTTGGGCCATTGCTTGTTTGTTGGCGGCAGAGGAAAACATCTTCACAGAATTTCTTGGTCCTCAAGGACCACCTCGTTCCCTAGGACACCTGCTTTCGGCCGGCGTTCCCTTCAGGCAGTGTCACGGGCAGCCCGAAGGCCCTTGTAAGGCGCGCGCCGTGGCCCCGCCCCCTTCCTTTTGGCCGGAACCGCCATCTTCCAGGTAGGGCCTGCGCGTGGCTCCCGCCGCCCGGCGTCCTACGGGCTCTGCTTGTAAGCTTTGTGGCCGCCGGGGCGTGCGGTTGCCTCGTAGAGAAACTCTTTGTCCTAGCCAGAGCCCGTTAGCTACTGCGCGTGGTTGGGCCGTGGCCTGTCAGGTCTCGATCAGCGAGCGAGTACGGTGGTGCGGGGCCGGGCGGGGGGCCGAGTGCCGGGCTGCGGCGGCGCGGCCCTGTCGGGAGACGAGACCGGGTTTACCGGGTGGAGGTGAGGCCCTGGGGTTAATCTAGCAAGAACTCGGCCTTGTGGGCTCCGTGGCTTCGGCCCCGGATGCCGGGCGCTCGCCGGGGACGGCGCGGCCTGCTGCCTTTCCAATGCCTTTGCAGTGTGGCGTCTCTCCCCCGGCCGGCGGCAGAGTCGGCAGGGCTGTCTCGAGTTCCGGGTCGCAGGAGTGGGGATAAAGCGGCGCATCGGCTTTGGTTTCCAGTGGTGCCTAGGTGGGGTGGCGCCACTAAGGTCGATCTGAGTAATAAACTCAGGGTCTCTGTAGGTTAGTGGATTCACATCCCTTTGCTTACGAAGCAGTTTGGGGGCTGGGAGTGTGGCCCCAGCGATCGAATTGGAGCAGGCGCGAGCCTTTTTCAAACCCATGTACCATAAAAAGGAAAAAAAAAAAAAAGTTTGGGCCTCTCTGGAGGAAGGGAAAATCACCTTAAGAGTGCCATGGCTGGTTAGAAGGGGATATCTTTAAAGAGCACAGGATGTGTTAAAGGGACTGAGAGATGCTGCCCTAAAGAAGTTTGGAGAAAAAGATCCTTATTTTAATATACAATTCACTGATCTAAGCCTCATTGATTGGCACGGTGAATATTGCTTCCGGAGAAAAAGTGTTGGGTGTACATGTAAAGTAGGCTTCTGGGTGTCTGATAGAGGAGCGTGGACTCTGGGATCAGGAATGATCTAATGGGTTTTTAGGATTGTTAGTGACGGTTATCTTAGGTTGCTGTCAAGGTAGACCTAACTGCTATACTTTGCCTTGTGGAATGAGTGATTGCAACTAATAGCATTTTTCCTGTTGAATGAAGATTAGTCAAAACCATGTGTGGAAATAAGGCAGTGGTTCTGTTTTGAAAAGTTACAGGTGAATTTTTAGATAATGATCTATTTAGTTGTCTATTTACTGTTGAGTATCTGCCTGTACCATGTTTCCTTGTAAACAAACGAGCAGATAATATTGATGGGAGTTTTGAAAATCTGGTAGTGAAATAAATTATGTATGGAACACAACTAGGTGTTTAATGGGGGGGCGGAGTAGAGCTTTAGGATTTTCTTTATTAAAAGTATAAATGTCAATTTGATTTACTATACTTGTGTTTTTAGTAATTTGCCAAAATGACGAACACAAAGGGAAAGAGGAGAGGTACTCGGTACATGTTCTCTAGACCCTTCCGGAAACATGGTAAGTAGTTTGACCTCCTGGAGCAAATTGAGCAAGCAAAGTGTTGCAGTTTATATAACTAATAAGCATGTGCTTGGGATGTGTATGGTACGTTTTCAATATAAAAACATGAGGCTCATTTTAACTACCAATTGATAAATTTGGGGAGGTTAAATGTTGTAGATTGGTTTTGTTATGTTAGAAATTGTCCATTAGTAAGATGTAAAATCACATGTATTTTTTACTCTAAAATTTGTCATAATACTGACAACCAATTTTTTATTTTTTGTAGGAGTTGTTCCTTTGGCCACGTACATGAGAATCTACAAGAAGGGTGATATTGTAGACATCAAGGTAAACACTTAAATTTGAGGAAGCATCACTAGAAATTGGATTTAATCCAGTGTAGGAATTTAAGTATCAGTGAATATTGCTTTTATTATTGGATCTTTTAAAGATTAAGGGAATCTGCTTAGTGAGAGTTCATAGAATCACTACTGTTTATAAAAACCGCAGTAGAAGCTGTTCTGTTGTAATCAGTATTTAATTGTATCCTGGCACTCCAGAACTTAATGATGATTGTCTTTTTGATTGCTTGAAGCAATATGAAAAACACATTTCACCGGCTCTGAGAGTTCTTGAGTTGCCATTAAAGGAAATTATGGTTTGAAAGGAAAGGGAAATTGTTAGATTAATGTTTGTCTTTTTTCTAAACCAGGGAATGGGTACTGTTCAAAAAGGAATGCCCCACAAATGTTATCATGGCAAAACTGGAAGAGTCTATAATGTTACCCAACATGCTGTTGGCATTGTTGTGAACAAGCAAGTTAAGTAAGTAACAGTTCTTGATGGCTGCTATTCCTATAAATACCCCCTTTCACTTTGCCAATGAGACTTATGTCTTCATTGGTCATTCAAGTGGGGCAAAGGAAATATCCTTTTAAAACTCATACAAACTGAGTGTTTGTTTTGTAACCTGTCAGAGGAAACAAAATTAACTTACAGTAACATTTCTATTAGCATCCTGGTTCCGGCTAAATTGCTAATTCAGGCTGCCATTTTATCCCTGCTACAGTAGTGATGTTCAAGGTCTCTTAGAGAATAATTGATTGTAAAGAAACCACATCTTTGTCTTAGGGATTTAACCCAGAAAGGAAAGAGCTAATTTATTTTTTTAATGGAGCTGCTAAAACCACTTTTTGCATTTCTGTGGTATTTTTGATGAAGCTCTTAGAAGAGTTTGTGTTCTCCTAGGGGCAAGATCCTTGCCAAGAGGATTAATGTGCGAATTGAGCATATTAAACACTCTAAGAGCCGAGATAGCTTCCTGAAACGAGTGAAAGAAAATGACCAGAAAAAGAAGGAAGCCAAAGAGAAAGGAACTTGGGTTCAACTGAAGCGCCAGGTGAGAGCTTTGTTTGGTATTTCTAAATAAGAATTGAACATATCTTAAGACGTTGAGACTAAATTTTTGTTGTTTTACGTGTTCTTTTTTAATAGCCTGCTCCACCCAGAGAAGCACATTTTGTGAGAACCAACGGAAAGGAGCCTGAGCTATTGGAACCTATTCCCTATGAATTCATGGCCTAAAAGATGTTAAAAAATAAAAGACTGCTGGACTATAAAAATGACCTTGAGTAAAAGTGTGGCGTATCTTCCCAAAGAAATCTGTAAAGCAAACTTTATCTCTCAGTTCATTTTTATTATATCTTTGCCATTTAATATTTTTCTTGAAAATAAAAAAGATGAGAAGTTTAGAGTACAATAGATAATGTTATTGGTTTGGAAACCACCAGGTACTTAAAATATTCATGTAAATTTAGAAATAGTCTCTTAAGTCATTATTGGAAGATGTGTAGAAGTAAATAGAGAAAGTTCCCTAAATCGATGGACTATACGGGGCAGGAATTTGCCTTTGAAGCGTACTGACTAAAAATAGATGGGTTTAGGTATCCCATTCTGTTTAGTATAAACCATAGAAAATATTCATGTTTCCATTGTCTTGAAAGTCCCAAGATCAAGGCTTGGTGTCTTGAGGACTCTATTATCTCCTCCCAACACCCCTTATGTGGTACTATTTATTTTCTGACTATATATATATATACACACACACATATACATGGGTTTTTTTTTTGGTTGGTTGTGGGGCTTGAACTCTGGGCTTGGGCACTGTCCCTCAGCTCTTCAGCTCAAGGCAAGCACTCTACCAGTTGAGCCACAGCGCCACTTCCAGTTTTCTGTTGGTTTTTTGGAGATAAGAGTTTCATGGACTTTCCTGCTGGGGCTGGCTTTGAACTGTGATCCTCAGATCTCAGCCTCCTGAGTAGCTAAGATTACAGGCATGAGCCACTGGCGCCCGGCGAGAAAGCCTAATCTTGAATGTCACCTATCAGGAATTAACATTTATACAAGACAGTGTAGATTTCTCATGCCAATTCCTTCTTTCTTTGATCATACTTCTCTGGTTATTTTCAGTATATTACTGGTTGTTTAGCCAATCTAACTTGGTTTCCTTACTTGAAAAGGTAGTAATAAGAGTGAGACTTGATGGCATGATCCAGCAACTTCCAGCTTTTATTTTCATAATACTTCCTAATGAACTTGGATTTATCTTGACAAGGAAAACTGCTTGGAGCAGTAATTTGGAAGTCTAAAATCATCATGATTCCAACATGTGGAACTTGTAAATTAGAGTTAAAGATAATGTAAACTTTTTTGTGTATTCTCAACTAGCTATATGATTAAGCACTACATGGAGTTGAATTTTTTTTTTTTTAAGGAGCCTTTAACCTGTTCTGTACATAGTAAATTAAGTCAGGAACTGAACCTTAAGTATACTAGGGCACTTAACTAGCATTCACAGAGGAAAAAATTTAGTCTCCACTTTGCCATGGTTACTTTGGCAGCCACATGTTTGGTGTTCCAGAATTTTTTTCCTCCTAGGGGCCACTCACATTAGAAATCTGTACGTCTCTTTGGAGTGGCATCTAATACACACCTTACCATACCATCTGTCAGTGTTGTATTCTTCGAAGGTTTCTCAACAGGTGCTCAGTGCTGGTTTCTGTTAACTTATTTAGAAGCCAGTGTTTGGAATGTAAACTAGGGAAACTTCATTTTCTAAGAATGAAGTACCTAAATCTAACCTTTGTAATTCTGGTTCTCAACTGACATCTTCAGTTTAGAGGTAGAGGCACTAAAACAGTGCACTAAGCAATATGATATGGCTTAAAAACATGGTTTAGGGCACAAAATA